GAAGTTCCAATACCCTAACCATGCTGACTGACAATGCGCTGTTTATTTACTTGACTTTCGCAGGCAAAAGCAAGAACTGATTGGCTACCAAAGATCTAACGAAAATTTCATAGGGAATATTTGCACCAAGCCTATGCCAAACTATGTTTCAGTTTCTATTACTTTTACTCGCATAAATAAGGAAGGAATCTCTAAGAAATATTCATTAAATTACTGTGATATTTTCATATCCAAATTCATGCAGGAAGTCTCAGTTTCAACAATCAATGGGCCAATGCAAATATTTAATACTTTTGATATTATATCTTCCAGAAGTTACTCCTAAATATTCCGAACATAGCACACATCTGCCTCGGCCGAGTCTCTTTAGAGCCCTTTCCAAATGATTGTCAGAACTGGTTAATAATACCGATGAGCAGGTTATACCCTGGCAAAACCCGAAAATTAATTGGCATTTTCTTTGCGGACAAATCTCTGTGCTCTATCTGTGGCGGAATATCTACATGGAACCTTATCGTGGAAATGCGGCCAAATCAGGCGGCAGCAAACGGCAAGCGGCAGGAGGCTGGCGGCAGGGAGGCAGGCGGCAGGGAGGCCTGTCTGACTGTCTGCCTGTCTGCCTGTCTGTCCTTTCAATGTCCTACCAACCCCCAAAAAAAAAGGGAGCGGCCTTCGAAAAATAATGAGACACAGGTCGTGTGTGTGTTTTGTGGATCTGAAATTGGGTAACTTTGACTGGTCCTTGAGGACCATCTCATTTCTTTCCTCTGTGTGTGTGTGTGTGGGTGTGTGTGGGTGTGTGTGGGTGTATGTGTGGGGCATGGGCAGGGGTGTGGTGTGGGGTTACGCGATGCTAAAAGGCGCAACGCAAAGATTAAAAACAATTTTCGCAGGGGGAGCATCTCAATTTGCTGGCTTCTTCGGGCAACGGCGACAGGCCCCCCCCAAGACAGAAATGAACAGAACAGAACAGAACGAACCCAAGAGCCAAAGCGAACCCAGGCGATTCCTAGACCCGCAAACTGCACTCGACGAAGCCTCATAAATACCGAATTAGTTGGTAATTCTATAAGCAACACGCGCCCATTGATGGCGACGACTACGACTACGACGATTGACGATGATGATGATGATGATGGTGGAGATGGATTGGCAGGGAACTGGGCAACTGGAACTGCGAGTCGCGTGTCTCTCTCCCTCTCTCTCTCTCTCTCTCTCTCTCCCTCTCTCTCTCTGTCTAGATAACAATGGAGGGCAGCGCATTCGAGAACTTTGGGAAAAGGAATATGAATACGCTTCAGAATCGGAATCGGAATAGGAATCGATGTATCTGCCAGATAGAGAGAGGATGCTCCGAGATGCTCAATCTGATTTGATGGCACGAGCGGCACGTGCCACCTGGTGCGACAATTAGCCGCAAATGGCAAATGGCAAATGAATTTCCCAGCATTTTCATTAACATAATTAATGGAAAATAATAATAATAATTGAAAGGGCTGTAGCCGGTGGTCGGTAGTCGGGATTAACCTCCTCTAAAGTTAAGGCTATACATGCATGCATAGTATATCCTTCATCTATTGTGTTTGTATTTGTATTTGAGTGGAATAAGAAGCCACTTTTGTGCTGGGGCGTGGCATGTTTTTATGAACTGAATTAATGGCTTATGATGCTGATGGCTGACTCGACACTGCCCTGCCCTGCCCTGCCCTGCCTCGATTCGATTCGTTTCGTTGTCGGGGAGTCAGAGTCGCCTAAACAATTGTTTCCAAGGCACAGACGGTCCAAGTCGAAGGGCTTTTGGGATCAGAGAGACTCAACTCAACTCGACGCGACGCGACTCACTCGACAAAGCCGCAAAGCCACAGAGGCAGACGCGGACGCGTGCCCCAACGAATGCCAATAAATACACAAACAAGGTGTAGTAGAGAAAAGAGACGACGGCAACGATGCTACCACAGAAGGTTTTTTTTTTATTTGGGGTATATTTTGGTAGCTGCTGACGATCAGGTTATTTACTGAGCCAAATTCCAAGGATCTTTTAAGCCGAAGCCCGACAAACCACACACCACACACCACACCAAACTTGAGTAATTTATACCCATCCATCCAATCAGGTGTGTATCCGGGTAGCAAATACAAACAAACACACAAACACACCATGAGTTTTTGGGGCGAGGATTATGGCAAATTCCATTCACTAAATCTCCGAAATATTCTACACTTTTTAATGTTATTTCTTCAAAGTTTTTGCTCTAGAGAATGGGCAATGCTCGGCCTTAAAATACTTCACTTTAGAGGCGTACTTTCCTCTAGAGATGATACATCAAGGATTCCTCCCACAGAACGCTACACCTGAGAATTAATTATATATTTTTTAAGTGTGTATTTCTTGCCACAACTTCAGTAGTTGTGTCAGTTCTTAGAGCACAACTTTCACATCTCTGAATTTGTGTTTTGTTTTGCTTTTAATTTATCCTTTGTACTGCTTTTGTTAAGAGAGAACTTTACTGATTATTCAATCCACTATAATGATATCCTTTGCTGCAGAAGATTTTGCTGCAGAACTTATAGAATACTCGTAGAATTCTGTAGACACTCGAAACCTGTAGAAGCTTTCAAATAAATAAAAAGAATAATCACCGCCTTTTTTTTTTCTTTATATATATATTATTCATCTGATCATATTTTTGTGAACTTTTTACAATTATTTTAGTTTTTCTTTCGGTTTTTATAATTAAAAAAAAAAAAGAATTAACCAGTTTGCTTAAACTTTAGCATATAATTATGTATAATATATATATGTGTATATATATATATATATATATATATATATATATATATATCGGGATCGGTTGTATATAGATCCGCTCTTAAATATTATCAACTAATTTTCGTGTTTACATTTCTTTTCCACCTTTACTTGTTTTTTGATTCAGTTTTTATTATTAGTTTTTATTTTCGGTTTTGTTTGTTTTCATGTTTTGTTTTTCGTTAGCTTAAAATATTTAACCCGCGGAAAAAAAATGTCCTTAATTTGTAAGTGAATTAAATGCTAAACTTTCTTCGATTTTTCCTTTTGCATATGCATGTGTGTGTGTGTGTAGGCTTAGGTGTGTGTGTTTTGTGTGTGTGTTTTTTAAACAAATCTTTAAGCTTAAATTACAATTCAATTGAAATTAAAACTAAACAAAAAAATGTATGAAAAAACCTCCACATTGAACTAACTTTTGTGTTGTGTGAGTGTGTGTGTGTGTTGTGTGTGCTGTGTGTGTTGTGTGTGTTTTTGCTTGTTTAAATATTACAAAAGTTTTTCATTTTTTTCTTTAATATATATATATCATATTTTATGGAGAACATGTACACACACATACAGTATATATATATATATATTTGTAAATATATATATCATACACTCAATAGTATATATATATATATAATTTTCAAGAGTTTTAGGTTTTTTTGTACATTTTTTTTTTAAATATTTGTTTTAGGGTTTTTTAGAGTTATGTTTCTTTAAATAATTTTATAAATATTTACTCTTGTCATTTGAATTCGCTTTTGGATTGTGGCTTGTGTGTGTGTGAGTGTTTTTATTTGCAATAAAATTTCCTATATTTAAATCAATAAATGGTTTCTGTTCTCGATCCATTTCATTGATCCATTGATCCATTGATCCATTGATCCACTGATCGCATTCATCGCATTCAGATCTCACTTATGTACTAAATACTAAATGTCTCATGTGTCTCGTCTCGTCTCGTGTTGTGTCGTGTGTCTTATATGCTTTTGAAGTCTGAAATGTTAATTCGTTTTTCGTGTTTTCTTTATAGCTGCTTTAGGTTCGGTTATTCCCCCGTATATACTATACATGTATCCATATATAACCGTATATTGTACATATATGTAGAACTATCTTTTGTTTTGTTTTTTTTTTTTTTTTTTTCATTATTTGTTTTTATTATGTAAAGACGACAAAATGATGATTTGAACTTGAAACTTCTTATATTTCGTTTTCGTTTTTGTTTTTGTTTTTCCTTTTTTGTTTTTCGTTATTTAAAGAACTTGAAACTTGGAATTAAGGGTTAAATATTATGATATGAGAGCTGATCTATGTATTTCCATTTCCATTTCCATTTCTTACTTTCACTTTCCCTCCCTTCCCTCAACACACACCGCCAGAATTTATAGTGTGTTCTGGCACTTGGTTTGGTGATTTGATTTCTTGTGGAATCTTGCTGCTCGGCCTCTGCTCTTTCTGCTTCTGCTACTGTATAGGGGGGGTGGAGGAATGGGGCATCCGGGTCCTCCAACTACACACACGTATTGCATCTCCCCCATCCCCGAATCGTCTGAGATCCCGCGGGCAAACTCTTCGATTATTAACAAATGTGTTTGTTTGTCTTTCTTTTCTTTTCGTTTTGTGTTTTGTTTTGTTTGTTTTGTTTGTTATGTTTTGTTTTTACTTTGTATCACTCATTTTCTTCGTTGATCCTGGCGGCTTAGGCTAGATATATATATATGTATGTATGTATGTATGTATATGTGTACCCTCTATATGTATCGGATGTATCGGGATAACACTCCTGCATCCGCTGTCTTTCTATACATGGATCTATGTGATTTTATTTATATATATAATTATGCTCGTATTTATATTTAGAAAAAAAAAACACTTTTATTAACTACAAAAAAAAAAATATTATTTGAAATATATATTTAAGATAGATAGTGAGAGAGAGGGAGGTGGTGAGGAGGGGAGTGTTTGAGTGTGTGTGTGTGTGTGTGTGTAGATATGTATGTGGAAGGATCCTTTAGACAAAGGAGTGACCCCCCAAATGTGACTCCTGATCCTCCTGCAGCTGCAGCTGCAAATTATGTGGCTGCTGTTGATGTTGCTGCTGCTGCTGCTGCTGCTCCATTTGCAATTGTGGCGAGCGTCCGCTGCTACTGCCACTTGCAGCACTTCCACTGCCACTGCCACTGCCACATCCACTCCCCGTGCCACTGCCACTTGCAGCACTCCCCGTGTTGCTTGTCGTGCTGCTGCTGCCGCAGTACTGGAAGAGTAGATTCTACACCATATTCGCGTACTTATCCTGGGGCGACATGTAGTCGAGGCTGTTCTGCGAGAAGGCCTGGGCGGACACAGTGCCGGTGAACGAGGGCGACGGCGAGAGGCCGAAGTTGGAGGCCGTGTAGCCCGAGTGACCCATGTTGTAGTTGACCTGGTTCTGGTTGCTGAAGTACTCCATCTGGGAGTAGTAGCTGGGCGCCTGGGCGTAGTTGTTCGGGTACTGCTGGTACTGGTTGTGCCAGAAGTTGTACGAGTCGTGGTTGGACATGTAGGCCGAGTGGGCCGAGTGGTGGGCGGACTGGGCCGATTGCGCGGCATGTGCGGCCGCTGCCGCCGACTGCGGCGACATGGGGGTGATCGGCGGTGAGGGGGTGGTGATGCTGCTGCTGCTGTCCATCGGCGTAATGTTGCCGCCCGGCTGCAGCAGTCGGGGATTGCTGCCCGCCGCCGAGCCATAGATGCTGTGATGGTGATGCACCCCGGCGCCAATGTCGCCGCCGGCATCCTTCAGCTGATCGTATGGCGAGCGGAGCACATCCCCGGACACGCCCACACCCACACCCACACCGACGCCGCCGACACCAACACCGCCGCCGCCGCCCACTCCCACGCCGAGATTGAGGCCACCGCCACCGCCAGAGGAGCCAACGCCGCCTCCTCCGCCGCCGCCGCCGCCGCCACCGTAGCCGCCCGTCAGGCCGTGCTCCTTCTTGCAGACGATGCTCACGGGGCTGACGGAGGTGGCCGGGGTGGGGAGCAAGGGCGAGGAGTTCTGGTGCGCCGCCGTCACGTTCAGGGCGGCCGCTGCTGCTGCTGCGGATAGATGGGCGTGGCTGTGGCTGTGGCTGTGGGAGTTGCTGCCGCCGGTGCTGCTGCTGCTGCTGTTCGGCGTCGATCCGCCGCCGTTATTGTTGCTGTTGTTGTTGTTGTTGCCGCTGCTGTTGTTGTTGCCATTGTTGTTGCCACCGCCCGATCCTCCAGCAGCTGCCGCAGCAGCGGCACTCAGGAAGGAACTGTGATGCGTCTTGATCGACTGAGCCGCCGCCACGGCTGCCGCTGCACTGGCCGCTGCCGCTGCAGAGCTGCTGCTGCCACCGCCGCCGCCGCTTTGGCTTTGGCTCTGCTTCTGACCGCCGGACTTGCCGCCGCCGCCGCTGTTGTTGTTGCCACCACTGCCGCTGCCGCCGCCACTGCGGCTGTTGCTGGAGCCGCTGCAGCTGCCGCTGCCTGCCCCGCCGCCGCCGCTGGCGTTCTTGGAGCTGCTCAAACTGTTCGACTGCTGCTGCTGCTGCAACTGCTGGCGGCACTTGGCGCGGCGATTCTTGAACCAAACCTGCAAAAGAGTGGCAAAAAAAGTGGATTTAGTTTTGGGCTTTCTTGCGCGTGTTTGGGGGCAGTTTTCCCTATGAAAATTAGCGCCTTAAAATATGTGGAAAATCTGTAAAGATTTTTAATTGAATTTTGCATAGTTTTTGCCCATGGAGCGTGCGTATCCCTGCCACAAGTGCCCCGTGACCGTGCCTCAAGTGTTTGCCTTCTCTGTGTTTGTGTTTGTGTTGTGGACAAGTGGCAAGCGGCTGCAATTTTCCCACATCAATTAGTTTTCCGGACGGGCAATGAATAAATTATATATAAAAGGAGGGGGAGGGGGGTGGCTGGCACACAGCCCACACAGCCCACACAACCCACAACAAGTGCAAAAAGTCACGCGCTGCCCCCGCCGGATGAAAGAGAGGAAAAGTTACATCAACAGCCGCCGGCGGCGGCAGCAATCCCAAAAAATTGACTCGATTATATTGTCACTCCCACAACCCCTCTCTCTCTCTCTCTCTCACTCACTCACTCACTCTCCATCTGCAGGAAAAAGAGAGAACAATAAACAGCCCATAAAGCGGGATACTCGAGCGAGAGGAATTCACTTAGCCTTGTTTGTTATGCTTAAGGGGCTGCAAACAATCCGCTAAGTGCACACAGCCAGCCAGCCAGCCAGCCAGCCAGCCAGCCAACAGTCCCCGCCCCTGGGCTACAGCTACAGCTACATCTACAGCTACAGATGAGATCCATCCCCACAAAAGAGAGCGAAAGAGATGCACGAGCCATCTAACCGTTCAACTCCAACTCCAACTCCAAGCTTCAATCTCCAACTCAAACCAAAACCAAAAACCAAGGCAAACGCAACCGAAGTTTGAAGTCGATGATGTCCGCCCCCTTTGCAGCATTGGAAAATGTTATTTCAGTGATTTTTGTTGGCGCATACCCTTAACAGAGCGAGGATATTCAGGGCTACAGCTGCACTTTGGCAGCCATCAGCCATCAGCCATCAGATCGCAGATGCCAAGGGCAGCAAGGGAACTTTCTTTAGGCTTAAGAATTGCATTTGGGCATCTTCGAATTACTTTATTTGTTGGCATCAAGAAAGGTCGCTTGTAGCTCCGAAGGATATGCTAAATTGAATCACATCGTTTGAGGTCACCTTTTTCGGGTAAGAGTATCTAAAAGTTCGACCGGCGCCTGCTAGCTGTCACATTATTTGGGGTTGGTGTTGCTTGCTAATGGCTTGTGCTTTGGTAAACAGCAGAATTTATTACCGAACTCCCACTGTCACTCCTCCTCCCCTCCTCTCTCTCTCACGGTCTCTGGCAGTTGGCAGGAGGGGGACCGACCCCCGCCTCGGGCCAAAGTTAACACTTGCCACGCGGCGGCTGTGGCCACTCGAGCGTTTCATTGCTGTGTGTGCCGTGCCACACACCCCCACTTGAGGCACACACACACACGCAACACCAAAAAAAAGAGCATTAAACAAGGCGTATCAAATTTCATTATTTGTCAGCAAAGGACAAGAGGGAGAGACGGAGAGAGAGCGAGGAAGGGACCCAGTCCAGGTCCCGGTCCCGGTCCCGGTCCCCTGTTGAAAATTCAATTTCAATTTTCAATTCAATTTTGAATTTGTAAAATCTCCTTTTGTGAATTGACTTTGAAACGGGACATCCTCCAGCTTCTGCTTCAGCCTCTGCCTCTGCTCCTTTGCGCTTCGCTTGGTCCCATTGCGCTCCTCCTCGCTGAGATTCCCCACCGAATAATCGTTTGATATCGTTTAATGAACTGCGAGCAGAGAGGCGAGCGGATGCGGATGGCATGGAAGTTCCATAATAATATTGATAAAACTAAGCTTGGGAATTTTTTGCAAATTTTAGCAGAAAAATTTATACAACATTTTCCCATGATTTCCAATGATTAATCGACACAGAAACGAAACGCAACGAATCCGATTCGATTTGTCCTTCTAATGAACTTCAAACAAGAACAAAATCAAATCATTCAAAAAAAGCAGCGAAATGTTTGGAGAGAGAACTTCAAAGAACTTTTTTTTATTTTTTTTCTGTTTAAATTGTTGGCTCGTTTGCGGTTTTACCTGATTTGTAATCGGTGGGGGGGTGGGTAAAGGGCCAGTGGAAGGGGAAGGGAAAGGGAAAGGAAGTGGCGTTTGAGGGGAGTTTGGTTGAATAGCTTTCAAAATTGATTCATTCGATTGAATGGAGGAGGATGAGCACGGATTTACGGCGGCAACGAGATGAATTCGATTTATAAGAGACAAAAATATGTAAATATATTCGAGTTATCTTCTTTTTATTTATTTATAATTTGCAGATTATTCATGAAACTATGGCCCGATCTTTATTTGTTTTGCCACTGAACTATTGATGCTTATTTATTGAAAACAGTTTGACGAATTTATACCACTTGAAGCTACTGAAATTATATTATTTTGACTGTATGAATTTTATGCAATTACTTGTATTAAATGCAAATATTAAGCGGCAGTATTTTCCAGTTTATGTGCTTATATATTTTACACTCTGCACTGCACTGTAATTATATTCCCGAGCAAGCAAATTCCTTGAATTCCTCCAAACAAGTGTGGAAAAGTGTTTCCCCCATGGAAGGGGGCAAGTGTAAGTAGAATTTTGCTGCTCTGCATATGTCCTGGAATAAGTAATCTAATTTTGAATGCAATTGAAAGCTTGATCCTTTGGCTCTAAATTACTGTTTGATTCTGTGATGACTTTTCCTAGGAACTTCTGTATATTTTAAAATGCTGAACGTGCAACTGGATATTGCATTAAACAAATGGGGGAAAAATGTTTAATGGGAAAATGGAAAATTATGCGCACGGTTTGCATAAATCTCTATCTGGCTCTCTCTCTCTCTCTCTCTGGCTCTCTCTCTATCGCACTTCATTCATATGTGTGCCCTTACAGGAGCAGAGCAGGGTGTGAGGGGTTAAGGAAAAGAGTGGAAATTGTTAATCCGCAATGGGAAAATTAATTTTATAAAACATCTGTGTGAGCTGCGTGCACGACGTTGCCGTTGGACCGTTTCTATACAAAAAGTTTGTCCTACCTAAAACCGAACCCCCACCCCAACCATGATACTGTTCCCCCTCTCTTCCAGCGACACTCTGCCTTCCCCCTCTCCACCGCTCCCTCTATGCCATATGAATTTATATCCTAGTGCATTGCGTATCATGAGCGGCGAGGCAGCAGCGAACGAGACAAATCCTTTTACACGAAATACAACAAAAAGTGGAAACGAAGCAGAGAGTTTTTTTTTTTTTGTCGTTCTTTTGGAAAACTAAAAACAGGGAGAAAGGGAAAATGTGAAAAAGAGTTGACAAAGTTTAACTCCCTCTCCCTGTCCCTCTCTCCCTCTCTCTCTCTCTCTCTGTCTTTCTTTTAGTCTCTTTCTAGCGATTCACTCGATTGCAACCCCCGACGGGGAAATCGAACAGCTGAAAAACGAGGCTCAAAATACCGTGGCGAGGTGACAATGGGAGGGAGAGAGGCAAAGGAGGGCCGACATAAGGGTGCCCCTGCCCCCCATCCCATTCCATTCCATCGCAACCCATGCCATCCGGGCTACCATTCCTATTGCCCGTCCCCGTTCCCGTCCCCTTGCTCTTCTCTGGTTTGCATGTGATTTATGATTGCCAGCAGCAGCAGCAATGGCAGCCATCCACGTTCCCGTTCCCATTCCCGTTCCCGTTCCTGTTCCTACCCCTCTCTCACTCGCTGACACTCCTCGTTTTTCGGGGCGAATGAAAACATTTTTGGGCGTAAATGTTTGCTCTGTTCTGGTGCAGATAAGCTGCCCGTAAAATTATTACGTTATTTGTATTGGTTGCAATCAACGCCCTCTCACTTAGGAGCATGCCACATGCCACCCCCAGGGGCAGGGCAGCAGCAACAGCAGCAGCAGCAGCTACTGGGCCATAAAGATGCCTATCATTCAATTAATATTTACCAGACCTTAAGCCCCCCTCGACCACGACCAACGACCGACTCCCTGATTATGACTCCTGACGATGATTCTTGGGCACTGATTTCGTTGCGGGAATTCGTTTGATTCTGTTTTTGATTTTTTTTTCTGATTCAGACATTTTCCTTCCTTGCCTCTCTCTGCTCTGCTCTGCTCTCTCTCTCTCTCTTCCTTCTTTTGGTAATGATTATTTATGAGTTTTGTTTTTTGTTTGCCTCTGGAAAATCCTTTGAAGGTGACCCTTTCATAACAAAAACTAATGAGGCGACCCCCACACACCACACCCCATACAATATATTCGTATGTACATACATATGTATGTATGTATCTACTATAGTTATGGCTTAGAGATTTTTATGACTTCTTTCTACTATCGAAGAAGCCCCACAAACAACATTGAGAGCTCTCAATTTCAGCTGCCAATATTTGTGGGGTTTTTCTCTCCATGCATCTTTGATCTTTAAGAAGATTCTGCTCTATCTTTTGTTGAGAATATCCCTTTGGATTCTTTGGCTATGGGCTATACAGATATTCTGCATGGGTATACGAGTATCTGCGCTGCTCTACGCTGCTCTGCCCTGCTCTGCTCCACTTCTTCAACTTACAGAAACAGTCTAGTTTTTTGCTAATTGAGTTGCTTGGCTTCCTGCCAAGCCCCACAAGCCCCACAAACACCCAAGCCAGACGCCTTGTAGCGAACATGCAAACGAATCGTGTTCGCTTTTCTCACTGCGCTGTGCGCTGTGCGCTGTGCTCTCTCCTTTTACATTTACATTTCCATTTCCATTTCCTTTCCGTCTGTTTGTGTGGCGCTTTTTGGCATTTCCATTCGTGGCTTTGTACGGTTTTTCCTAGTTTCGTGCTGTAATCTGATACGTGAATGCATTGGCATGTTGCGTCAGTGGCAGTGTGGCAGACGCCATGCACAGTGGCACACAGTGGCACACAAAAGTATTATTCCATTGGACGCCACACACGATAAATCTCTCTCAGCAACCGATGAGTGCTGCCTGCATGTCGCGTTCTTGCTTTTCTGCTAAAGTTTTCTCTATATTTGAACTATATTCACACTGTACTTTTGTGCCACTGTAATGTGTATGTACATACATATGTACATCCAACGCAAGCCCCGAGAAAACAGGAAAAAGTCCAGCAAGCAACAGTGCAGACAACACATATGGAAAATCTATACAAATTGTACATTCCTTACCCATGGAATCCCCCATTCGGACAGGCGGAACAGACGGAACAGACGTGTGTGGTGTGCATTACGGGAATCAATTGTGTAAAAAACGTCGGGGCATCGGTGACCAGTGGATGGATGGATGGATGGATGGATGGGGGGACAGGGAAAAACACCAACAAGAACATTGGACATTGGACATATGCAAGTTGTCCTTGCTGCAGCAGCAGGGCACGGTACGTGTCGATTTTCACTTCGACCCGAAACGACCACTGCAGGGGCTTCCTCTGTTGTTCTGTCTGTTGCTGCCACAAACACACACACACACCAAAGCACATGCATGCCACACACAATCCGTCCGTCAGTTGCCCTGCTTGTTCTACGTCTTCTGTTTTGCTGTTGCTGCATTTTCTTCTTGCTGCCCCAAGCATATCGTCTTCGGCTTTTTACTACTTGGGATTCTACCGCAGACAGAGCTTTTCCATTCCTCCATTTCTCTCTCTAGTCCTGCCTTTGAGCGGAATAAGTACACACCAACCGAGGGGCAATGCTGCATGACGCGATCGCTGGCTCTATTCTGTGACATTATCTGCAGCTTCTAGCGTGAGTTCTTCTGCTGACTAAAGCTGCTTCTTCTCTCACTTATTTCCTGCCCCAAGCCCTCCTTCTCCTTCTCCTTCTCCTCCTCCTTCTGCTTCTCCTCCTCCTTCTGCTTCTCCTTCCTCTGCCAATGCAATGTCACGTCCTTAAATTACATTGTGCACAAAAGCAAAGCAAAGCAAACGAAACGAAAGCAAAGCAAACAAATCGATAGATCAATGCCTTCCACTCTGCTTCCGATTGCAATATTCGATATTGTGTCGCTTGCATCGATCGTTGGCTTGTTTATCCAGGACATTACGTGGAGAGAGATGACAGTTTTTTTTTGTCAGCAGCAGCAGCAGCAGCCGGAAGCCGTAGATGATGTCTCTGTTTGATCGTTTTGTCGCTTGGGCCATTTGGCAGTTGTTCGTGGCCAACGGCGCTAGCTGGCCCCGATCCTCTGTTTGTTTAGGCCCGATCATTGGACATGGGCACGACGGCACCTAAACAAACACACACACACACACACACACATACTGAATGGTAGAAAGAGATCCCTAAACAAATTGAGTTGTACAACTCCTGTGTCATCAGCATCATCAGCATCATCATCAAGAGGCAGCAGACAGGGCAGGGCAGGCCAGGGCAGGGCAGGGCAGCAGTTGGTTGACGGTAAAAATTAGCGCAAATTATGCTCGACTAATGCGTTGTGCAAACCTCCGATACGCTTCGCACTGCTCCGTTCTGCTGTCGCATCTTTTTGTTGTGTATCCTGTGTGTATCCTGCCTTGGAGGGGTGACTTGTCATACCCCAAATTCCCTTGGCAAATAAACGCGGAATATATCTCATTTTCAGCGTGCTGGGCGGGGGGTGGAGGGAACAAATATACCGAATGCCGAAATATCCGCCGGCCTCTATTTGCATTGAAAGTCATCAAATCTGTTCGCTCCATATGTGAACCGAAGAAACCCCCCCGACAATCCAACAGCCCAACCGAATCCAATCCAATCCCAGACCCAGACCCAGACCAGTATCATCATAGAAACAGATTCACTGGCAATCTGTTTCCCCCGGTTTAGCTGCTGTTTGTAATTTGTTTATTTTATGGATTTCTTTTTGGACTTTTCCGGGCACTTTTCCAGCCAGAGCAGGGCGCGGCAGGGCGGGGCATTTCTTTGCCTAATTAAACCGAATTTCCGGCACCAACTATACAAGTGTTTTTCGCACTCGCCCGCCCATCTGTTTGCCAAAGCTCACACATGTGCGGGTTAACTGAGTGTAAGATAAAACCAAAACCAGTTGGCAGGTTGTTTGTTTGTCTTTGGGGTCGGAGGAGCACAAGGGATACGCGCCATGAAAATGTGTTCATTGAGGGGATAAGGATAGGGCAATGCAATTGCCTGTATTACTGAACATTTACGGAGCAAAAGAAGCATAAGAAATAAATCGAGGCTCACTAAAGTACCCCTGATAATATTTGTAGGTATCCGAATTTGTGCATTAAATATATGTCTCTTTCATAGGGAGTTTATGGCAATCCCAGACTCTTACCTGTACACGTGACTCGGGCAGATTTATTTTGAGAGCCACCTCTTCGCGCATGAATATATCCGGATATCGGGTCTTGCCGAACAGCGCCTCCAAGACGTCCAGTTGGGCGCGTGTGAATGTTGTGCGCTCCCGACGCTGTTTTCTTGTGTTCACACCTGAATAAAGGGGGCAAGATAAGCAAAAAAGTATGGCATGTATTAGTCAGGTTCACTGGCAAAGATAATGTCTAAAAACCAAATGTGCTGAAAGTCTGTTTTTTCTAGTTGCCACATCGAGTATACGCAGCGTGGCACGTACCAAAACTTTTCCCAGTAATATTTTGTGCGGTGGTTAACCGTTATTTTTGCGGACTGGTTTTAGTTGTTGTTGTTTTTTTCTTCTTTTGGTTGGTTTTTTTGGGTAGTAGCAACCCCCGAAAATGTGCGACACACAGCCACACAGCGAGAGCAGAGCAGAGCAGAGCCAACCCCTAAGCGGAACGGAACATGATGGAACACGGGGGAAAGGAGCGAGGCGAAGCGAAAGCGGAGAAAAAGAAATGAAAGAACCAACCCTCGTGCAGCAGCAACAGCAGCAGCAACAGCAGCCGCCCCAAAAATTCTGCTATATATCAGAGTGTGTGTGTGTGTGTGTGTGCCACATGAACATATACGTGTATGTATTGGTGTGTGTGTGTGTGTGTGTGTGTGCTAAGCCGCAGCATTGTTTGCTTTGTCAGCCTCTCTGACTCGCTCTCGCTTTCTCTCTCTTTCACTCTGCAACTTCGACTCGACTTTGGCTTGGGTCTCCGTCTCCTGCCTCCTGCCGCCTTATCAGCCTCCTCTAGCCACTGGAAATACACCCCTGCTATTGTGCCTCTCCCTCGTGCCACACACTCTCGCCCTCTCCCTCTCCCTCTCTCTCTCTCGCACTTTGTATCCCTATCAAAAATTAATGAGTTAGTCATTTTGGTCATGAATTTATAAATTGAATAAAAAACTTCAACTTCAATTCCTGCCTGCGCCTGCCTTCACTTTATTCCATTTTGCAGCTGCCACATTTCGTTTCTTTTGCTGTTTGCTGTTTGTTGTTGCTGTTTTCGCTTTCAAAATGGTTGCCGTAGCCCCTTTTTTTTAAATTTCATTTTTCTTTTTTTTGGTTTACAATTAATTGCAATTTGTTGTTTATTTTTTTTAGCAGATTTTTATACATTTATTTTCATAATTTTTACCTTGGCGGAGAGCGAGAGAGAAAGATCTGTGATCTTGTCGTGTCGTTTAATTAACTCCACCTATAAACATTTCTGGCTGTTTGCTCAGTTTTTTATTTGTATTTTTTATTTGTTTTTTGATGCCTTTTATGGAGTGTTGTTTATTTTTGGCCAATTTATGATGTTTCCTGGAAGGTCTCATAGTTTCGTTTTGCTCAGGGCTAGACTATCAAGCATTTTGGAATACTTTTTGTGGCCTAAACTAATTCAAACCCGCTTCAATTCGACTGTAGATCTACTGTAATGATCAGAAATCATTCCTAGATATTTTCTTTCATTTTAATAACTTTGATAGTTGCCAATAGTTTGTGGGCTTTTAGTCCATGGAATTCATGATATTTCAGATATTTTTCAACGCAATTTTTCAACGGAATTTTTAAGTAGAAACTTATGAATCAATTTCTTTGAAAATATCTTATTATTTGTATTATTCCATATACTAGTATAATTTGCATCTGGAATACGTTCTTTGCTTTCATTTGTTTCCCTTGCTTGCTTTCATCGGAGGCCTCTCCCTTTCTGCTTTCTGCAATCTCTTTTTTCCGCTTTGTGGGCCAACTCTTCTCTTCCATCATACAATATCTTTAGCTCCAATCAAAATGTTATATAACAAGTTAAAATTCTGTCAATTACTCTGCTTATGAAACAACAAAAACACATAAAAGGAAAAACCATAAAGAAAATACTCGCCCCGCAATACAAAAAAACAAAAAAGAAGAAAAAAAATTGATTACGAAGTATGAAATATTTTTGGTAATTTTTTTCCATTTTTCTTTGGGGCTTTTTGTTGTATTTGTATTTTTTGGTATGTTTTGGGTCTGGGGTTTGGGGACAGACAGCAGAGTTGAGTCTTTTGTTGGCGTTTTGTAGCCAATTTTTTGTGATTTTTGTCAGGTTTGTTTTTGTGTTGTGTCATTTGCAGCGTCACCGAATGAGAAACCGAACGAAACGAAGCGAAGCGAAACGAAAAACTGGAACTTCAAACAGATAAAAACAGTCGAAAAGCAGAAAGCCTCTGGAGATGGAGATGGAGATGGAGACGGAGACGGAGACTGCGACGGAGTTGCAGACTCTGCCTCATTATTCATTTTGACAATTTAACCTGATAATGATGCAATATCGATGCGAACTGACATTGAAAGGCATTGGCAGTGGCAGCGGCAGTGGCAGTGGCAGCGGCAGCGTCTGCCCAAAGATACAATATAGAGATGTATCTTTTGGGTACTGCAGAGAACTGCAGAGAACTTTCAGCACATTTAAATTTTAGCAAGAGGATTTTTTGTTTTTTGTTTGTTATACCAAAATTGTAGAGTTCGATATTTACCCCACATACCTTGGGAGAACCCAACGGCCTCGAGACCATGTGGGAGGCCGAAGGGACCCAAAGATGGCATCGGCATGCCCGGCGGCAGTGGTCCGTGCGGCACCGAATGATGCGGATGCGGGCCGCCATAGCTGTGCGGATGGGGGCCCAAATCACCAGATTTGAGGAAACCCGCCGCCATCAGGGCTTCTGTTGAGTGCAGCGCCACGTTGAAGCTGTTGTGTGTCCGCTCGCCACGTGCTGCCGCTATCTCCCCGAAATCAATCTTGAGACCGATCTAAGAGACGCTCACGGTGTATGAAACTCCTCGTGCTCCTTCCTATTACCGGAATCCTGCCAAAGTGCGATGGGGATCCTCAATCCTCGATCCTCAGTCGCCGGCCAATGGTTGCTTGAATGTATCTGCAAAAAACAAAAGAATGAAGTGAGAATCGTAGATATACTCTGCTGAATGATAGCTCTAGCCAAAAACCGCTCATTACTTGCACCCCACAGATATGGGATCGATATTATATTTACTCACAGTATTTATGAATTATCTTTTGGGGGGAAACTGGGAAAATATCTTGGACAATATTCGACTCTGCCCGATAAGTGTTTGGTTGTTTGGTTGTTTGCTTATGGGTTAAGCTCTTGCCACGAGTTCCAATTACACTCTAAGATCGGTTGAGAGCAGAGCGGAGACTTATAAAGAGAAACCAAAACCAAAGTGAACTCTATCTCTGTCTCTCCTCTGTCGCTCTGTATCTCTGTATCTGTCTGTGTCGTGGTGGCCTAATCCCTGAGGTTTGCCGCCCTATTATGTAAAAACTTCTAATCTCCGCGTTTTCGAAGATTACCCAACGAGAACGCCCGCAAAAACGACCGACGAGCCGAACTTCAAGACGAAGTTCCTTCGTCGGCTTATCCTTGCGGTTTAAGATCTTTGATCTGCGCTTAGCCGCAGGATTATTTCAGACACTTACTAAAACTGGTACTACGGCTCAATAGACTGTAACTGGGATCTGCTGATCCGCCACACACACAAACACACACACATGACAGGACAGGACAATGGGCAATGGGCCATGGACAAGGCATGGCTTAAGAGCGGCAGAGAGAAAGAGAGAGCCCAGCAGCAGCCCAGGAGCCCAGGAGCCCAGAGCCTGGATTAAAACTCTTTTGTCTGGGCTTTCTTCTCTCGCTCACTCTCTCTCTCTCTTTTCGTGCGAAAAAAATTAGCACTATCCGAGAGAAGGAGAAGGAGAAGGAGAAAGGGAGAACACACCAATAGGTCCGGGGGTTAAGAGGGGCAAAAGCAATTGCGGAATTAGCACGAACACCTCACCTCAACTCACCTCCTCTCTCTTTCTCTGTGGAACGTTTTGCCTTTTGTTTTGGGAAATTGAAAACCCAAAAATCACCCAAAACTATTTGTCACTTCCCTAAACGGAGTACGAAACGGGCGAAAGTGGGACAGAGACAGAGACAGGGGGGCAGATCGATGCGTATATATGTATATACATATGTATGTGTTGTATCCCTTGGATGCACCACACATCGCATTGTGGTGCTGTGTAAAATTTGTTTTGTTTTGTCATGTCGCTTTCATGGCTGACTGAATCTCGCATGAAGGATGAAATGTGCAGCCCGCAAAAACCACTCCACTCCAGAGAGACAAAAAAAAGCAGAGAAACCAAAACCAAAACCAAAACCAAAACCTCGACCCTGATATAGCACCCGATACCCCCCGAAAGGACGGACGGACGGACAGACAGTCCTGTTGCCCAAATTACATGCTCACGCGCACACGCAAATTAATAACGCATCTGTCTTCAATTCAGGCAGAGAGCCACACAGAGAGGGAGAGAGAGAGAGAGAGAGAGAGCGAGAGATGCTGCTGGCTGCATCAGCGAGCAGTTACCGTTAGCATAGCCTTAAGCAGGGCCTGTTATCGATAAATGATCGATTAAATGGCACGCAATCAAATCAAAAATTAATTGTTTAATTGCTGACTAAGCAAACACATACTTTTCCATTTAATTTATGTATTTAATCGTGCTAATTATACCTGCTGCATTACATTAACTAGATCCTAACTATACTCGTATTCTAAACTCGAATCAATTCTATTCTGTGATCCATTGCACCCCCCTTCCAAATGTGGCTCAAACATATGTATTTTTAATTGTCTTATATTTTCGAAGATTTTCTGTTTCTTATTTTGGGAACTTTAAGTTCCCATAGAAATCATTAACAAAAACTACCAGAAACAAAACTAAAACGAAACCAAACCAAACCAAACCAAAGCAAAGAAAAAGAAAAGAACTCTCGTCGAACTCTCAGCATCTGTCAAAACCGAAAATTGTCGGAGCCCCAGAAATGTGTCACATTTTGTTTTTGTTGTTGTGTGGATTGGAAACTGCGACTCAAAAACGGGAGATGGGAGATCGGGGCTCTACGGGGCTCTACGGAGCTCTACGGAGCTCTACGTGATTTTCTAGTAATTTGCCGCTGGCGATGGCCTCTCGCTCGCTCTTTGTGTGTGGCTTTGTGTCTCGCTCCCTCGCTGATTATGAAAAATCATGGTAAATGGCAAAAAGAGCAAAAAGTAAAGAAGAAAGAAGAAGGAAGGCCCCGCTGGCTGATCCATTGTGATGGGTTGGTCTCCTAGGGGGACCGCCGCCGCCGCCGCCGCCGAAACGAGGCGGGACAAAATCATTTGAACTGGATATATATCACGTACAAGAAGACTCCCACCCCCCTCCCGAACACTTTCATAATATATTCGGCATTTTCGGCAATTTCGGACGATGATGATGATTCTTCTACTGTGGACCGTGGACCGTGGATCGGATCACTTTCGGTTTCAGTTTCCGGGCACGACTCTTCTTCGATTTGATCGTACATCAGTACTATGTATGTTTTCCTGCCGCGATACTCACGTAATTACGGTCAAAATAATATTTGTGCACCAGAGTTTTGAAGGTAAACAGCCGCGAGGGAAACAAAACAAAACATCAAACACATCACACACCACACATCACACACCACACACACACAGAAATAAAGAGCCAAGAAATCCAGCTCCAAATTGAAGATGGCAGCTACCGTAAGCGTAAGAGATCACTGGATCGATGGATCGATGGATCGTTGGTTCCGACCCGCACATCGAAACACTCTCTGAAGAACGGTAGTGTTTTTGTTTCTGATGCTGATGCTGATGCTGGCTGGCCCTGGGAAAGTCTTAGCCAGAAGACAGAAGAGAAGAGAGAAAAGAAATCGCTAGCCACTTGGCTACTGTTCATTTGGGCCATGGGAAGATTTCATCTCCATTCGAACCATACGAATTTCGGATGATTAATGGTACCATACCGTCTCTCCCCCCGCACACTTTGCATAACATTTGGCTGTATTTATTTCCCCCTCTCCCCGTGTGTCGCCTGACTAATATATGTAGTATAGTATCTGTTATATGGTACGGAGTGGGTACGCTTATAACTCTGTTAGTCAGTCACGAGAGATCAACTTTGGGGCCGGCCACTGTGTGTGCAGCTGTCAGGAGTGCTAACCTGTCAGTCGGTTCGGCTGTGGCTCTTATGCGCTGTGTGGCTCCGACTGTGGCTATGACTGTGGCTCTGACTGTGGCTCTGACTGTGGCTCTGACTGTTGCGGTAGCTACATACAGCCACTGAGCAGCACCGTGGCTCAGTGGCTCACGGGCTCTGTGGTTGTTGTAGTCGGAGCTATTAGTTGCCTTAACAAGCTCTATAACAACTTAATATGCCCGGGCACATTGCACATATTTTACACTCAACAGCAAAGGTTTGGTTTTTCCCATCCATCCTTCCATCCACGAAGAAAGCTCAAAGCTTTGCCTTGAGGCTTAGTTCCTAGCTAAATGGATTGAAAGAGCAGATTTCTTTAGCAAGGTTTTCGGCTGCTTCTATCAACATTGAGACACTAAACAGGCTACTGAATATCAAGCGAATCTTAGTCAGAAAATAAATAAATGAAACTCGGAAGAACTATGTGTAAACTGCTTTGGAAACGAACAGAATCACAACCGTAACCAGTTACTCAAATCGAGGACTTAAAGATGTCCCTGGATTGAAGAAATTCCATTTATATTTTCTAATTTTTAATTTCTCTATAAATTATTCATGGCCATTATATTTGGTCAGTTTTTGGGCGTTTCAAACACTTCTCACTCAACTCTTCTATGGCGTTCTTTGCTGTTGAGTGTAAGCCTGATATTCGCGTTATGGCCGACAAGGGGGGGGGAGAGAGCGGGGCATGAAACGGATGAAAAATGCATTTCTCAGGCTCATTTACATTGAGCCACAGCTACTGGAATATGGAATATACTCGTACACGTAAATGGTAGAAGGAACTGCCAGACTGCAGACTGCAGACTACCATTCGGGGACCAACTTCATAGTTGAGATACGATACGGACTCTGGTCTAGCATAATAAGCCTGTCTGTCTGTATGTCTCTACGTCTGTCTGTCTGTCTGTCTGCCTTTTTGTGGCTCTGTCTCTGTCTCTGTCTGAAAATAATGCAACTTAATAAATGCAACAAAGAATGAGGCAGCAACAGCAACAGCAGCAGCAAAGCAAAAGCAGTCACGTCCCGAAAAACAGGTAATGGGAATGGAGCTCTCTCGGAATGGAATGGAATGGAGTGGAGGAGGATGGGAATGGGGATGGGTATGGGGAGACCATTTCTACGCAAATGCATTTTGACATTTAAATTTGCAATTTTCGCATAAAATTATATTTATTTTGTATGTTGTTGTTGCGGTGAAAATTGCAACCTTGCTGCTGCTGCTGCTGCTGCTGTTGCTACTGCGAGGATCACGACGATGTGATGGTGATGGTGATGGTGATGTTGATGTTGATGTGGATTCCAGCTACTGACTTTGACGTTGACGTTGCCTGAAGTTTAATTAAGCAACGTGCCAAATAATTGAAAAAGTGTGAAGATTTGACAAGTTTAAGACGCATTAAAAACATATATATGGCCTAGAAATCAACTGACACTACTCGTAGATACTTGCACATGTATCTCGGTATTTCGTATCTGCTGCTGCTGCTGCTGCTGCTGCTGCTGGGCGACAAGTTTATTTCCATCCGTACGGCATACGGTTGGTAGATTTTTTAATTAGTTTTTTTTATGGGGAATTTGTGCTTATCTCATGGCAAATTATTTATTATTTACTTAATCAAATTGACACTTGAGCAGCGTTTGCCAGTGATTAATAGATGCTAGCAGGAGATTGCTCAATCAAAGTGATTGCGATTGCGATTGGGATTGGGAAACCAACCGATTTTCCATTGCCTATTTGCATGGCAATTAAACGAAAGAGAGAGAGAGAGACAGTCCGACCGCATGCAAAAAGAGGGGAATAAATTTGCATGGAAGTTGCCACATGGAACCCCAAAAGATGCAAAAGATCCAGTGAATTGAATGTGCCCCAAAAGGCTTTTTCTACACTTATTTTTTTTTTATTTGCCAGTGCATGGATATTTTTAATTGCAAAATAAATTAGAGAAATTAATAATTTCCTCGACCAATTAAGAATTTGCTATGGGCTGTGTGATTCGAGTGGAATATTCATTAAACTACTTCTAATTCTGGGATATACTTGTATCTTGGATATGCTCGTATCTTTGATATTTTATCATCGTTAATCCACAACCGAAATTCACTTTCTTTTGCTCCATTCATGGCTCCTATCTGCAGAGTGATCGCTGACTTGAGCTGGAGCCTGGGCTCCGAATAAATGTACCATAAAATTGTTTCTAATTCAAGAAATGTTTGGCGGGTATTACACCACTTGTCTTTCTCCGTTCCGCCCAATTCCATTCACAGATACAATAAATTCAAATGGAAAAAATTGAATGAATTGCCAGGCCAGACCAGCCAGCACAGAGTGTTTCGCCTTCAGAGTGTTGTACAAATGATTGCATCATTGAAACACACAGAAATAGAAACAGAAAGAAAGAAAAAGAAAAAAAAAACAGAGAGCCCCAAACAGCAACAGAAATAAATCAAATAATAGACTAATAGAGTAAAGAGCTCTCGGCGATCGGTGATCGGTGGTCGACTGTGTAGACTGGTCACAACAACACAGAAAAACCTTATTATTTGACGCATTGTCAATGTGATCTTGATATGAAATGAAACTGGAAATGGAAATGGAACCAGGCATCAGGCATCAGGCATCAGCCATCAGGCATCACATCTCGGTGGTGTGTGGTGTGTCTGAGTGTCTGAGTGATTTCTATTTAAATGGCTTTGTCAACGAAATTTGAGAAGCAACAACTACGCGTACGCGTACGCGTACACGTAATGAGCAAAGAGTGAAGAGAGATAAAAATTAATAATACAAATAATTGGGTACAAAAATCAAGAAGAAAAAAAAACCAAACCAAACCAAAACCAAACCAAATGAAATGAAATGAAACGAGACTCCAATCCATACGTATCTATACGTGTCTATAAGAAACGCAACGAAACGAAAACCTCACTTAAGGCAAGGCGAGGCAAGGCAAAAGATTGACAAAAGATGACGACCAAAAATACAACAACAACAAATACAAAAATCCAAAAAAAAAAAAAGAGTAAAACCCGATCAGGTAGGTTGCCAGTGAGGTGAGTGTTGTGTGTGGGAGTCTGACGACTGTGTGAAGACTGGGGCGTGCTATGGGTGCCCACAATGGAAGCCGTTCGGTTCGGTTCGGTTCCGTTCCGTTTGCGGTTCGCAGTTCGTGTCGCTGGCCTGGCTGTGGGGATATGAGGGATAGATAAGCTATCAGAGGTGTCGCGACGCGATCTCTCTGCGGCTCCAAAGACTTCTTTCAATTCTCTCCTCAGGCGGATGTTGTGAATGAAATGAAGTTGATCGAAATTGGCATTGGGATTGGGGGGAGGGAGGATTGTGATCTACTATAAGCCTAGGAGTCGCCGCCTCACGGCAGTTGCGTGGGTGCGAACAGCGAGTCCAGAAGAGATCCGGAGATCCATAGAGAACCCTCTGTTCAGAACTCCACTTCCACAGCCCACAAAAAATGAACTTGCATATTAATTTTGTGTGTGTGTTTCTTCTACATAGCAGACAGACAGCGTACATACACATACATATGTATGTGTGTATCTGTATGCAAATTAATAATACAGAAGAACAGATGGAAGAGGAGTCAACGTTTTATTCAGATATTTTAATTTATAGCCGCCGCTTTGAAATTAGAGAAAGACTCAGCAGCAGCAGCAGCAGCAGCAACAACAACAGAGGGGCAGATACTGGGGGCACAAAATATGTGTGAATAATGTGACCTGAACGGGTCCGCGCCCGTCGCTCCCATCGCGGTCCATCGGTCCATCGATGCTGCTGCTTCTGCGGCTGCTGCTTGCTACCTCTATTGTATCTAATATTAGACCCCTCTTTTAGGGTCTGATTGTTGTAGTAGACTTATGCTCATACGCATATATATATTCGTTATATTCGAATGTTTTGCCTAATTAACGGCCAAGGGAGGCGGCCTTAATATGCCCATTAAAATTATGAAAATCATAACGAATTTCAGATTCAGATTCAGATTTCAGAGACTTGGATGCCGCTTTGGTCTTGCATTTTCTCACATTATGATTTCAATATTAGTCATAGGTGGAATTTCCTGTGAGAAGAACTTCAACAGCAGAAGCGTGGAAAGGTCAAGACGCGAGACATCTATGGGTTTTTTTTAGTTCTAATTGCTTGGGGATCCCATTGAAGCAGCACTAGGGCTAGCACTGGAGACTAGTGCAACCATTTAGTGAGATTTAAAAGATCGTAATTGCAAGGATACTGTGCCAAAAGTATGGCTAGTGATGGAACATAAAAGATGGTCATAGTGAAAAATGTCTTTCAGTGGAATAAAGAGTTCATTTTGTCAGAATCAAAGTTATGGATCATCAAAGAGTTGAATATATCTACTATAGATATCAGCTAGATACAAAAATGTATAGCTTAAAGATTTGATTCTGATTTGGAGATGTCCCATGGCTTTAGGCCCCTGACTGACTGACTGACTGACTACTTAGGGCTATGTATTCATATATGTATGTAGAATATTGTATATCGATAGAATCATGTTAATCCTAGGTAATATAATCCTTGCTTCATTCTTGCCGCATTCCGCGTTCCGTGAGAGTTCAGTTTCATGGATTATATGGGGTATACATTTGCCTCCCGTTATGGAGGAGACAGATATAGAACACTCACCGAAAAAAAAACACAAACAAAACGATCACTGATCGATCGCAGGCGAATCGTATGGATCGTTTGGATCGTTTGGATCGGATCGTATTATATATGTATGTATGTATGTATATTCCAATTTAGGATCCAGATACTTTGCGGTATATTCGGGTTTATATGGCTGCAGTTGTTTATTGTTTGAGGTTTGAGGAGGCACTGGTTACACCATAAAAAAACATATCCTACACACAGGACACGGGGTGGGGGGTGACACACGATACACACACGATATGCTGAAACGAACTGAACGATCGATCGATCGGCTAACGGTTGCAGTTGTATATATCTTTTGGGTTGTTTGCTGTTGCTGTTGTTGAAGAAGTATCTTGTATCTTGTATCTGGGATCTGGGATCTGGGATCTTTTGTTGTGTTTCACGCACTTTCGTTTGGTAGAATGAAATGTTATTTTGTGGCTTCTCTTTTTTTGTTTGTTTGTTTGTTTTGGCGACGGCGAACCTTTTGTTGTTGTTGCTGCTTGCTGCTGCTGCCGCTACGCACGGCGAGAGAGGCAAAAGCGCGGCGAAAACTAACGGTGAACGGTGAATGGTGAACGGTGCGGTGCCTCAGTGGAACGGAACGCTGAACGAGAGAGAGACGGTGTGTGTGAGCGAGCGACGAACGCACTGACAACCCGAGCGGCACGAATGTATCTTTGAAACTGATTTTCGTGACACCTTCCAGCGGGCAAACGGTGGCAGCAGCGTACCAAAGCAGGGCAGAGCAGAGCAGAGCAGAGCAGCGACGCAGCAGGCGGCGACGACGGTGGCGATAGCAAAAGTCGTTCGACCAGTCCGTCCCCTCACACAGGCGAAACGAGCGACAAAAAAAAGCCGAAACGAGCACACAGCTACACGAAGGTTCGTGTGTGTGTGTGTTCGTGTGATCGTGTGTTCTCGTGTGTTCGTGCAGCCAACCAACACCACCAGCAGCACCACGTGGGCCAAAGCGAGAGCGCAATACTTTTAGCAATGGCTGACGCTGCGCGCGCCTCAATCCGAGCGAGCGTGCAAGCGAGATGGCCATACACTGCTACACTGCTTGCTGGCTGTGTCGTCGCCCCGTAGCCGTAAACCGTAACCGGAACACCCGCTAGCTGTCCCGCTCTGGCACCGACATAAGCGAGCGGCAAGTGCAAGCGGGATGACTGCCTGGCCCACCATTCGAGCAGCTGTATTTACCTATGTGTTGTTGCTGTTTTCTATGCCGCCGCTGCTGCTGCTGCCCTGTCTATGTTTGTGTGTGTGTGGTTGAGAGTGGAACCACACCCCAAATAAATAAACGCTGCCGCCTCTTGCTTGCTCCCCCCGTATCACCCACCACCCGCCCAGCGACCCATGCCTGGCAGTCGGTTCAACAACTTTGTTTCCACACAAAAAAACAACAACAACAACAACAGCAACAGAAAGAAACAAAAAGAAGAAAAAAAGTTGTTGTTCCTTTTGGTAGTTTTGCGCGCGCCAGCAATGAAATTTTAATGAAAATGACAGCAAACCCAAAACAGCGCCACCATAGAGAGGAAAAGCATAAGACAGCGAAAAAATTTGTTACCAAAAGCAAGCAGGCAGGCAGGCAAGCAAGAAGACTAGAAGAAAGAGTCGCCTGAAGAATGGGGGGTCTGTTGGAGGGGGTGGCTAGATATGTAGGTGGTAGGTGGTAGGTGAGTGGGTAGTTGGCTGGGCAAAGGACGTTGGTCAAAAATTGTCATGCAGAGAGCGCCAGCCGCAGCCACAAAAAACGGACGGACAGGCTGCCCCCACCACCCACCACCCACACCCTCTTAATGTAATGGGCGGTGCAGGCCCAGGCCCACTATTGTTCAATTATCATTCACTCAAGCAAACAGCCAAGGAATTTGAAACTCCAATTTAATTCGATTTGATATTTCAATAATGATGCAATAATGATGCTCTCCGAAGGGGTTTGGCTTGTAGCAAATCCTTGAAAAGAAAGGAGCACGGGAGATGGGAGACGGGAGTAAGGGTGGCTTGGGTGCTTGTGCGATAGTTATGCTAATGAGGATAATGCTTAAGAGAGAGAGAGTGGATTGGACTTGAGATATAAGTCTATTTTAATGATGCCTTGGTTGAAGAGTCAAAACAGAGCAAATAGTACACCCTTTATTTCCCTTTCCTCCTCCACCGCCCCCCATTAACTATCCTCCTTTTTAATGTGAATCCTGCGCTGCAGCTCAATCATGAATGATAGTCCAGCGACCAACCAAAAACCAACAAAAACCATTTCGGTTGCTTTTTTTTTGCTCAGCTTTTTTTTTTTATTATTTTTATTTTTATTTGAAGCTGACGCAGGAAAAAAAAAGCGTTCAGCGGAAAAAACCTTATCAAATTTGTATGAAAATTTAAAAATAGCTGACGACAGTTTTTTTTACTCCACGGAGTGGAGGGAGAGAGGGGCAGTGGGGGCGTTTGTGTGAAAATGTTGCACAAATATTTTATGGATTTTTCTTGTTAAAACTTTGCGTTTGTTTTTATTTGTTGTTGTTGTTGGCTTTCGCAATTTTCTCATTTTCATTTGCAGGCTGGCAAATGAAATTGTTGCGGCTAATTGATGTGTAGATGCAACATGGGGCTGGGCAGGGCAATTGGCCCACAGAGGGGTGGCTGCCAGCACAGTTATCGCCAGCTTAGCATACAGTTCGGGGCTTCCTCCTTGTAAAACAAAAATGCCAACAACAAAACACATAAAATGTGAAATTTTATTGGAAACTTTAAAATGTTTTGCCAGAAGGACTGGGCAGGGGAGGGGAGGGGAGGGGAGGGAGGTATAGGTGCTCTAAATGGAAAAATAAATTTCATTTTAAACGAAATCAAATGCCAGTGGATATGTTTATACATACATTTTTAATTAACAATAGAAAGCAAAATGAAATAAATTGTTTTAAGCACGAAAAAACATTTCAAACACTTCGATACTTAAAAATCTCCGCAAACTCCAGCTAAATTCAATTTTTTTGTAAGTAAATGGCAGCGATGGAGTGCTCACTTTTATATCTACACAACTTTGGGAATATGTACATTTATTGGAGGCAAAGTAAAACTTTACAAATGGCAGAAGGAGCGATCAAGATGTACAAGCTTGAGTACAAGTCACAGTCCCTGGTTCCCCCCAATGTAGAACCATAGCTGCAATATAGTGATATGTTTTTCTTAAAGGTTTTGGCTCATAAAAATAGAAGAAAGATTTCTGGAGGAGAGCAAGAACCTTGCAAAAATGTACCCAATAAAATTTACAAATATCGCAATGCCCTAGCAAAAGGGTATACCAGAAACATACTCCAAAAAGATGATTGCAAAATGAAAATTAACAAACAAAGTTGCACTTACACACACACACAAATATATAGCACACATGCATACACACACATGCATATGTACATAGATTTGTGGTTTTTTTGTTGCAGTATTTTTTTGTTGTTGTTGGAAAAGTTTGCCGCCATTTGCCCCGAACATTTTTCATAGGCGACAGTTTTGATTGCTTTGTGTGTGGATCGTGTGGATGTGTGGGTCGCTGCGGGGGCGTGTGTGTGGGCGGTGGAGATGTGGCAGTGGCAGGGACAGGGACAGGGACAGCTTGTGGCATCCACCAACTCCACCACTCGACACTCTGCTGTGCTGCTGCTGCTGCTGTGTACGGGTATGTGGGTGTTCGGTTCGGTTTGGTTTGGTTTGGTTTGGTTCGGTGTGGGTTTCAGGTTCAGGTTTTCTCTCTCTCAGCCAAAGGAAACTTTTGCTTGTATTTCATTTCATTTTATGTGATTCGTGCTTCGTGGTTCTCTTTTCTCTCTTTTTTTCGTTGTTTTTGTGTTTTTTTTTGTAGGTGCTGTGCTGCTGGCTGATTAACGACAATTCGTTTGGCTGATTTTTTATTGCCTTGCAACTGGCAGTGGCACATTCATTAGGCCGCGCTGTCGTAGGCGCGTGGCATGCTGCCGCATGGGGCACAAGGCTCTGACTCCCCACTACCCCTACCCACTACCCACTACCCACTCCACTCTCACTCGACTCTTCTATCCGTGGGCCAGTAAATTTCATTAGCCCCTGTGAGCCGTTGTCTTTTTTTTTGTCTTCAACATTGCTGCTGCTGCTGCTGCTGGCTGGCTGCTTGGGAGGGGTTTAGGTGGCGCATGCCAGGGGGGTGGGTGTTTGTGTGTATGTGAGTGTGGGTGGTGCGAGCCCCCTCTCCGCGAGCTGTGGGCGTGGCATAAATAGCCTGATTAAGCTGCCAGCAGTCGTAACCAGGCAACCAGGCGAACGGCTCCATCAAAGTCCTCAACGCGTAACGCAAGACAGGGGATGGAGGGAGGGAAGGAGGTAGGTTCGGGAGGGTTCAAAGAGAGATTGGTAGGGTTTATACTACAATGCATATATGTACATACATATATAACTGTATATATGTATATTCATAATGATATTGCCAAAGCAAATAATCCGTGCACATGTTCTTTACGACATCCATCCAATCCACTCAAGGAACAAAACAAAAATAGAGGGCGCTTCCGATGAAGAAGAAAATGTTGCACACGCCACGGAACAACTATAACCACAATCCCTGCCACATAATCAGCTGCTAGGAATTTTATGAACACTTTCCCAATGGATACTTTAATCCAGACCTCCCCACCATAACAACTGAAGGAATTGCTGGCTGCATAATTTGTACAATTATTTGATAGATTTTTAAACATTTTTGGTTGGTTGCTGCACCCCCAAAATGATATAGTTTTCCCCTTAAACTAGTCTATCCTGCAGCGAACTGAATGAAATGAAGAAATATCAGTGTGAAAGGCCACAAAGTTCGAGTGGAGCATATTAATCACGAACAATGCATCAAGCATTCTAATCCCGAATATGAAACCAGTTTAAATCAATATAAATGTCAAGAGATCAAGAGAGGAGAGCTGGAAGGAGAAGGAGATGGAGATGGAGATGGAGAGCTGAGACCAAACAGAAGCCCGAAAACCAAAAACAGAAGCCCAAAAGCCGTGCCAGAAGAATTATTGGAATAACTGAAAGCAAAAAGGGGCAGCAAAGGTGGCTGGCTGGACGAAATGGATTGGCTTGTATTGGATTGGATTGGATTGGATTGGATGAGAGGATGGCAAGTGCCATGCCATGGCAGGGAATTCAGATCGAGAGCAGATCAGGCGGCGACAGGGATCGCTTCGGGTTTGGGTTTGGGTTTGGGTTTTGGGTTTAGTTTCGTTTCATTTCTTTCTTTCATTAAAACGAGCCGAGCCTCTGTTTAGGCCCGCAAAAAGGATCAATGCAGCTGGTGGTGGGCAGGGGAGGAACCGAGAGGAGAGCCATCCCAGCGGGATGGTTGAGAGGCACTCGCACTGGCACTGGCACCGAGAGAGACCACCGTTGTGCGTGGCTTGATGATGATAATGGTTTACTTTTATACTTTTTGATGGTTTTATGATGCGGTTAAGCGCTCGAAACCGCAAAGTGGCCGTGCCGCACCGCACCGCACCGCGCACACGACGCACAGGCGGCAAAGGACGACCGACCACAGGAGGACCAAGACCAAGACCGAGACCAAGACCTGGGCCAGGGCCAAGAACGAGGACTAGAGCAGGCAAAGGACTTTCGCGTAAGCTGCACAAGTTTTGGGTAATGCCTCGACTTGAGTACCAGTACCTGCCTCCAGC